TTAAATTATAATAATTACTTTGTTGGATTAAACTAACACGATTTATTGAATTCAGCTAACATGGTTTAAAGATGCAAGAAGAACTTTTGGAGAACCAACATCAGTTGCTGCTCGAACAAATATGTCTCCTAGTGAGTATAAACATATTTCACTATAAGTTTATAATAGAATTTGTTGGAGTTATTAGGCTTATCAACATTGTTTTTCATTGTAGCTGAATGATGGATCATGTATGAGACCGATGCACCAACTGTGAGAAAGTTAGCAATCAAAGTATTATCACAAATAGCTTCCTCATCTGCTTGTGAAAGAAATTGGAGCACATTTGCACTCATATACACAAAGCAAAGAAATAAGTTGGCTCATAGTAGCTTGGAAAAATTAGTTTATTGCTACTACAACATGAAGCTTCAAATTCGAGATAAGGAAGCAGAAATAGATCATGTCGACCGTGGGGACCCACTAGATGTGTTTGATATTGTTGGTGAAGATGATGATACAGAGGGTAACCAACTTTTTCAATGGATTAGACCTCTTCATCTAGATGATGATGAAGGCAACCCAGTTCCCAGAGTTGCTGAAGAAGCACGTAATGAAGGGATAAATGTAGAAAGAGTATTAGAGGAGGAGGTGGGGTCTAGCAGCGCTGACTCTTTGGACGAACTTTTGCGCCCAAGACCAAGAAACACTGGAATTCCACCTTCTTCCAATCCTACACAACCACAACATCGTGCTGATACTAATGATAGCTCTAGTACAAGATCAGGAGACTCACCTACCACCGGAGGTGGGAATGATGAAGGACATAGTGGAGCTGGAGGTAGTGGAGCTGGAGGTAGTGGTGGTGGATATGGAAACTATTATGGACCACTACCTCCCGGATATATGAGCCCTTTCACTGGTGAGGCAAACTTCACGCATGCAACACAGGATGATGACCATGGCAGTAGGCGGGCAGGACCAGGAATTGGTGCCATAGGGAAGGACTATACTCGCAGAGAAAGAGGCAAGGGGATTTTCTCAAGTCAAGAAGATGACTCGTTATCTAGAACTTCAGACTCTGTTGGATTGGGAAGTAGTAACTATGGTTATACTCATAACCAACCATTTCCCTACCCTTCATATCCCATTCCTGTTGGGATGGAATCGAGCGACTCATGGAAACAATCCCAGACTCAATCTTCAAATGATTTTTCTTATGGACAACCTCAACCAATCTCAGATCCATATGGGTGGCATGTTAACAATTACATGCAAAACTATTTTGGGGATTTATCATTTGATAACTACTCTTCACAATACACTCATTCTACACGTAGAGATGATGAAGATAGTGAAAAATTTGAACCTCATAGAAACTCTATGTGGTACTAAAGTGTAAAATATTGTACTAATTCATTATATATAAATGATTATGGTGTGTTTAGACTTCTTTCATTAATTACTACATATTTTCTACACTCACAATGTTTGTCAGCTATACAATCAACTTGATAATGTTAAATCCATCATGCAATGCATTTCTTTCCAATTTTTTGTGATAAACTAATAGATAATTGACTAAATAAACATCCTACAAAGTTTCAATAAAAATTTCCAAGTTTTTCTTACAATTTCCGTGGTTTCCATGTAATTTTTATCGATATCGATATTTTACCGATATTTGCATCGATATTTCCGTGTTTTCGGACTACCGATATTTCCGATATTTTCTTCCTTGGTCAAGAGGAATGAACCAATGTGCAGGATGACACAGAGCATAATTATTTTGTTAATAAATTGGTGATTGATTGATTGATTGATGTTTTACTCCTTGCATTTTTCTTTGATCATTACATCATCTATACAATAGAAATTTAATAAAATAAAATAAAAAACTTTAAATGTAGTTTCAAACCATCAATACTTTTTGAAACATTATTGGTTTTTAGTTTTTCATCAAAGCACCCAATATTATTATATTTGCACGTTAATTATTATATTTTTAACTTAAAATTTAAAATTTCTAGTTGCCTATGTTAATGATTTTAAATAAATTCATTATTGTGGGATTGAAAAGATTAAAAGATCAATTATACTTCCCACCTCGTTAATAAAAATTCAAAATCGATAGAAAATCAAGTTTTTCCATAAAAATAAGTACATATATATATATATATATATATAAACATATTGTATACGTACATACATACACACATACATACATATAAACGTGGGCATATACATCAATATTAATTAAAATTATTAATTACACCATAAAACATTTGGTAGATTCTTCAAACTCAGAACATGGGTTCAGTCTTCTAAACCACACAACAAAAAATTAATAATCTAAGCTTAATAACTTTAGTAAAGTTTTTCGAATGCACTTGATATGGATACATTCTCAAATCAATGAAAAAACTGTACACCTATAAGTTTAAAAGGATTATAAAAGAATTGAACGAATTTTACATAAAAAAATGGATACACTTTACACTTAAAAACAATTGGTATATGTTGGAACCAAATTCACTCATACCCGCGGATGGAGGCAAAACTTGGTTGGAATTTGTTGATGCACAAAATCAGTGAGGACTTTGGTACAATAGAAAATGTTAAGTTTGTGACCTTCGCTAGATTACTCCGGTCACTAGTGTGGATAAGTATGTAAATGGATAGAGACAGGCAAGCAAACACAAGATGTACGTGGTTCACTCAGATTGGTTACGTCCACGGAGTAGAGGAGTTCTCATTAATTGTGAAGGGTTTACACAAGCACATCGGTTCAAACTCTCCTTTAGTAAGTACAAATGACATTAGGAAATATTGTGGGAGAATGATCTCCTTTTATAGAAGAGAGTTTCTAGCTTTGTTCTGACATTGACACGTGTCGTGTTGTGATTGGCTTCCGATGTTGACACGTGTCGCGCTATGATTGGCTTCTGATGTCAACACGTGTCGCGCTGTGATTGGCCTCCTGGTTGGAGGGAAACTCTTCTGGGTCCTTGACGGTATAACATTGACCAGTGCTCGGTAGTTTCGGGATTGGTCAAGTATGGTACAAACAGAATTCTCCATGATCTATGGCGAGGGGAGAATGAGGTTGATTGGCGGGTGTGTTTGAATCCGGATAGGTTTGCCTACATATCTCTAGGAAAGAGAATTAAACCATTGGTGTAGTTATAAGAAAGAGTGGTGTGATGTGCAATACATTGTGAATCATCTGTGATGATTAGTATATGACAGGGCGTAAAGGCGATGGGTTCTCTATGAACACATGTCTATATATGCATATACGGTGGCATGTATACATGATGAGTCTCTGTTAGGCGTAGAGAGAATATGTGTGTAGTAGTCTTGTAGAGAAGATGATGAATCACCGAAGGTAAATTACATCACACTGTTCAGGTTTACGCTCAATGAATCTATAGGTTCTAGCTTGATTTTCATACTTTTGTTTTTTCCTTCTACACTTTTTTTATTTTTGTTTTTGTTTTCTTTAACTTATTCAATCCAATGATTAAGAAATTAAAATAAGATGAGTGCATAGAGAGACAAGAAATTACGAAATGACTTCATTGGTTATTGATATTATTACGTATAGCAAACGATAAAATTTTTGTCCTATTGATACCATAGTTAATAAATTCCGTATCATACACGTATGTACATATTTTTTTACAATACTTTGGTTATCCTAGTTCGGTCAAAAACGGGTTGGATTTCAGTGGAAAGGCATTGGATATGAAGCTTGATGCTCTGGTTCGGGGAAGGAGGGGGAAGAGGGTGGATATTGAAGAGGAAGGGGGAAGAGGGTGCTGGAAAGAGGGAGGGGGAGGACAAAATAATTTTTATTAATTTTTAAATTTTAAATATTTAATTGGCCCATATTGATACGTGACCTACTCATTGTTCACGTAGGTGTCACGTCATCATTTAACAGAGGTTCTAACGGAAAATTTAATGAATGCATGAAAGTGTCCCCAAATTATAAACTTAGATACCAGACTGTGACAAAAAAAATTTGATGTATAAAATATTAAAAACTAAATTTTTTTATAGTAAACTGAACCCTAAAAAATATGTCCATCGACAGTGCATTAAGTTTTTCTTAATTAGAGATTCTTTTGTAGGTGCCGTCCTTCCTCACTGTGGGTTAATGTTTTCTCCAACGGTTCGATTTGGTACGTGGAGCCCATTAGAAACCGCGTGAGTCCACTTGATTAAGAGCGAAAATAGCTGTTCTCCAAGTGTTGCATGCATGGATTTGCAAAGCTGTAGTGAGCCAAAAGACACTGGTAGTAGAAGTTAATTACTTAAAACAACGCTCCAACTTTTGGATTTTGCAACCTAATTAATTTCGTGTAGTTTATATATAATTACACAACTCAGCTCAAACGTCACGCATGGATCATACCATAACCATCAATCAGTAGCTGCCACCATGTGATAATTTACCAGAAATACTGTAAATATTCAACAAATTATGCTAAAATACTAGGCAGTCTACATCCACAACAGATGGCAAAACTTTGTTCAAGTCACCCCCACAAGAAGGTTAATTAAGCTAATGACGCAGGAAAATTACATTTCTATCTTTTCTGCTGTCATTTTACCTTTGTCCGACGCTAGCTACCATGAAACTCAGGTGAATCAATACGGTAATGCCGAAAAAAAGAAACAAAACCAAATATTATTTTGGTTTACTTTGACATTGACGAAATGAAAAGGACAATATGGGCATGCAGGCTTGAGTTTTCGAGAATTTTTTTGTTGTGACGGGAACACGGATGGTACATCATGTGTTTTTATGTAAGTAGTGGGAAATTTTATTTTTTAAGTTATTAACTTTTTAATACACATATCCCATCATTTGTATAGTGACATGTGGTGTACCACCTCGTATGCCGGTCACATTGAAAAATCTCTCTGAGTTGTCAAGTAGTTGACTATAAAACGCCAGCACCAGTAGAGATTAATTAAGATACTAATTAAATTACTTTACTAATTATAGTTGTGCTTGCTTTAGTAGCAAATTAGAGATGGAATCACAAACACCAGCACCAGCACTCCCTTCTGTCAGAGCTTCCCAGTTTGTCATTCTTGGGTTGAGGGTCCTCACCTCCATTTTTCTAGTTGTGTCACTCGCCATCCTCCTCTCCAATGTTTTGTCTGGAGATCAAGATCACAAAATACACTTTTATGACTACGTGCCATACCGGTGTGCATGCATTTCTAGCAATTAATTTAATTTATAGTCCAATGTATGATACAAGTTAGTACATTTTAGGGCCGGTTTGAGAATGTTTTTGTAGGAAGCAATTTTGTTCATAGGCGTTGAAAGTGTTTTTTGAAGATAGTTGTTTTTCCATAAAACATTGGAAAATGCTTACTATTGATAATACTTTTCAATTTCTTCTCCCAAATTGTCAAAATCGGTTTACGTTATCGGAAAGCCCTTTTAGCGCCCTTCTGAAAAGGAGAGAGATTAGTAAATGCTATTCAAAATCCCATTTTTAGTCTTTGACAACTTCTGTAAAATTTTCTCTCTTTATATTAATATTTAGTTTTCAAACTAATCGTACTTTTTCTTTTCATTTGTGCTGTGATTAATTGCAGATACATGGCTGCCGCAATTGTTATTGGAATTGCATATTCAGTCTTCCAAACTGTAGTTGCAGTTATCCGCATAAGAAGAGAAAATCATAGGAGCATGTTACTCGACTTCTATGGTGACAAGGTACATATAAAAGAAAACGCTTGACGATCGAATTTTGGTACTTTCGGATCAAAAGTATTCGTTCATCAATCCTTTTGAAATTCTGGTTCTGTCGTTGTATATAAATCATTAATTGCTGCTACTACTAGTGAATGGAAGATCTTTGAATGTGATAAAAAATAAATCAAACTAACTTGTGCAGGTTATATCAAATGTAGTAGCTACTGGAGCTGTTGCAGGATTTGTTATGACCGCACAACTACAGAAACAATGGGGCGACATAGTAAAGATTGACATTGTCCACAAATATATCAAAAGGTCACATGCAGCAGATGGACTTGTCTTCCTTGCCTTCATCTGCACTTTCATATTATCCGTCCTCTCTTCCTATGCACTTCCCAAGAAGGTTTACTAGAATTAGATTTTGCAGCAGCATCATCAACAGCTGGCCAATATTTGAGTGTCTTGCCTTTTATTTTAGGATTTTTTAACTTTAATCCTTTAAGAAGAATGGAATTTAAAATAAACCTGATGTTAGATTATATATTGATTATAATCCCTTGATGTGTCCTTAATCCAAAATAATTAATGTGCAATTTATTTAATGTCTCCCATTAAATACTTAAATTTATTAACATACAAATTTTAATTTATTTTTTGACTGAAAAAAAAGTTTTTTAATTTCTTAATTTTATTTAACATTCTTCAAACTTGAAAGACTCAATTAATGTACCTAAATGTTAGTATCGAAATGTATTATATTGAACTAATGTATTTAAAGGTTAGTACTGAAATGTATATGTACCGAAATATATGCACCGAAATGTATTATATTAAATTAATGTACATAAATGTTTATACCGAAATGTATTATATTGAATTAGTGTACCTAAATGTTTGTATCGAAATGTATGTACCGAAATGTATGTATCTAAATGTATACACCGAAATGTATTATAATAAATTTAATGTACCTAAATGAAGAAGAAAAAGTAAATCGAAATATATTATATAACAAAAATTAGTTTATCTAAATGTTTACAACAAAATATATTACGATAAATGAAATGAAAATGAAATAAAATTAAGACATTAAAAATTAGGAAGAAAAAAAAAGAAATAATTAAAAATCAAAATATAATTAATATGGGACTAAAATTAAATTTTGATCTTAATCATGGTTTTAATCTAAAAGTCATCTTTGTCAAGGATTAAAATGAACTATTTATTTTATGATCTCCCACTTGTATGTGTATATCATGATCTAGCTAATTGATTAAAAGTGATGTTAGTTTCTCTAAGAGTTGCTTTCATCACATGAAAAATTTGAAGGGATAGGTGGTTCGGGACAGGATCCCAAACCGAATTCCAAACCAACCTCTTTCGGGATAAGATTCTGAAAATCGAAACTGAACTGAAATTTTAATATTCTCGAAAATTTTTCAGTATTTTGGTACGTTTCAGGATCCCAAATCAAAGCAAAACAAAGACAGATCCCCAAATTCCCAATTTGTAAATCTCTAATTCGAGTCCTAATTCAAAACCAAGATACCCTTAGTCCTTAAACTTCCTCCAAAATAACATGCTGCAGCAGTTGCACCACAAATTCAAACTCTTTAAGGGAATAGAATATGACTTACTTTTTAAATTGGTAGAACAATTTGGAAATGGAGGGCCTGACATGACATAACTTGCATAAAGCATTACCATATGGCTGAGAGGAGAGTTGAGAGAGAGGTGTGTGAAAGGAGAGGAAAGAGGTGGTGAGTCCAGTGTTGGTGGTGGAACGATTGAGAGAAAGAGAGAGAGTTTGAGAGAGAAGATTCAACTGAGTGAAAATTGAAATCGAGAGGAGAGAGATGAAATAGCATAAATGAAAAGATGGTAATCAACTAGGGTTAATGAAAAATGTTATGTATGAGTAACTAATAGTTATTAAAATCATGGGTTCAATTTCTTACGGCCTCATTTTTGAGGTACTTATCTAAATGTCGGTTTGGTGCGGGTTCGTGATAATAACCGAACTAAAAATATTCAAAAATCGTAAATTTCAGGAAAATTTGGGTTGATTTCAGTTCGGGTTCGGTCAAGATCAGGATTTTTGTGACTTTTTTCCAGTCCTAGATGTGAGGATTGGTAATTTACATATATATATATATATATATCTTTATTTTTTGGTACTACTATATAGTCTATATTTATTAATGGATAGTGTTAGGGAGACCAAATTTGTAAACCAAATAATATGTTATCAGTAGGAAATAAGAACGTTAATCAATGTTGAAGTAATAACCTAAGGGTAATGCTGGGGAGACCAAATTTTTAAACAAAATTTGCAAACCAAATGGTTTAAAATTTTGGTTTCCTTAGCATTTGGTTTAAAATTTTGGTTTCCCTAGCATTTGGTTTAAAATTTTGGTCCTCCTAACATTTGGTTTACAAAATGTAGTTTAGAAATTTGATCTCTCTAACATTACCCTTTATTAATTTGTAAGTTGCCAATTAATTTAATCCAAAAGACAAAGGTCGAATAACTTTGACATTCTTTTGTATTATTTCTAATTTTGAATTTAATCTAAACGGAAATTTTATTGACACTCTATAAATAAAAATGTCGTGCACTCTCTATGTTATACAAGAAGGAAGTGATTTTCGATTAGTTCTATTTTCTCCTGTGCACTCCTCAATCAAATGAGAATTAAAAGACAAAAGTAAGAGAATATGAGTGCAGAAAAAAAACCAAGAGCCTAAAAATCACTACCCTTACATAAACACAAAGAAGAAAGAAAAAAAGTTGAAAGTCTTGGGTCCGCTAATATAGTAGATGAGTAGCAGCTCCTAATTCTTTATGCTATTTTGGGGAACAATTAAACTCATGATTTCTCTAAAAACAGAAACGATGGCAATGCAGACACAGGGTCCTAATCAATCTGTCTTGTTTCTAAAATTTAAAAGTGTATTTCATATATGGCCATGAAATTGGAACAAACTTTGGCTCCAAAGGCCAGGACCCGGCACGCAGACACAGAGACCTTGATAGTGCTGAGGAAGCAAAGATGGGAACATTAATGTAACATCCTACATCGTCCAGGGGACTGATCCTTAAATGTATATTCCCATCCCTACCTAGCACGAGGCCTTTTGGGAGCTCACTGGTTTCGGGTTCCGTTGGAACTCCGAAGTTAAGCGAGAAGGTGGTCAGAGCACTCCCATGATAGGTGACCCACTGTGAAGTTGCTCGTGAGTTCTCAGAAACAAAACCGTGAGGGTGTGGTCGGGGCCAAAAGCGGACAATATCGTTCTACGGTGGTGGAGCGGGCCCGGGAAGTGGTCCGCCCTGGGCCGGGATGTGACAATTAATGCTTTCCTCCAAAACTGCCCGGATTATTACTCTTGTATTGAGGGTCCTGACCCTTGTCATACTGGTTACGTCTTTCGCGATCCTTGCCACCATTAATCAGGAAGTATATAAGCTCAACATTCACAGAGAGGTTCAGGGAACTTGGACGATGCGCTTTTATCATGTAGTTCCTTATCGATATGTTTGGAGTACTCTTTTATTCAATCACCTTTATCTTTCATGATGAGCAACTTATAATATCATGCATACATTATTCTCAACGGGAAGCGATTTTTGCACATTATTCTTCACATTCTGCACACCTCTCTTTATTCTTCACATTGATTCTCTTTAAATTTGTTCAATTTAATAGCTAAAAAACGAAGAAGTATGCAGAGATCATATGTGGAAGTAATTGCAGATACACGGGTGCAACGGTTGTAATTGGAGCTTTATATTCAGTCTTCCAAATCGTATGTGGAAGTATCCGTTTAGCAAAAGAAATGACGGGAACGTCCTGTTAGATTTCTACGGTGAGGAGTAAAGGCCTCGGACCTTCGTTTCTTACCAAGGAAGGAGGATAGAGCCTCTCAAACTCCGGTCGAAGGCGATCAACCGATTTAACCTCCGATCTAAGTGCCAAAACGAAGATAAAGGAGAGAGGGAGAAGGTGATACCTTTAGTTCGTCGCGAAAGGGGTCGGAGGTGGCCGAAATCTGGGTTTGAAGCTCGCGGGTGCATCGGGGGTTTTTGAGTGGATTCTAGGTGTCCCTATGCTTCATGGAGATGAGGGAGAGTGAGAGAGAGTCCACGATGGTGATGGTGGTGGTGTTGTTGATGTCGGGGTGATGATGGTGTCTCGGCGTGCATGTGTGGGTAGATCGGGGAAGAGGGAGAGAGAGAGTACTGATAGTGAGAGAGAGTTGAGCTAAGAGAAAGGGAGAGTGGGATATTCGAGAGAGGGATTGGGGAAAGAGAGAGAGATAGGGTTGAGGGTTAGTGGACTGCCACGTGTCAGCGTGAGGGAGAATGAGAATCAAGATGGAGGGTCTATATTAGATTAGGATAAAGGACTCAGTCGCACAATTTATATAATTTCAGGGAAATAGTGAAAATATAAATTAATTTGGGGGTGGGGTTTCACATTGTATACTAGCGGTCGTTTGTCAAAGTTTTGTAGAACTAAATAAAGTTGTAAAGTTTTCTCAGATAAAAAAGAAGGTAAAGTTACAAGGTAGTAAAGAAGGTAAACTTGGAAATGTAGTAAAAATAAAGTAACGTAGCACGAAGTTAAAGGATTACAAGTGTAATTCTTTGAAGAATCAAAAGTCTGGAATCCATAGAGAAACCCTAAAGGTTGTGTCTGATTTTGATTGAAAGATGATTACAATTGAAGCAGCTAATGACTTAAATAATTTGGTTACAACTCCTACTCAAAGTCTTAGGTATTTAAACGAAAGCCAAATGACATTAATTAAACGACAAACGAAAAGTTCAATTTTTATTACAGAACTTAAAATGCAATTTTGAACGGCGTTCTTTTCTTTCCGAAAAGGTATCATGAGCCCAAATTGAAGCTCAGACGCCAAAACTGCAAATTTCCATTGCGTCTATGTCTTCCGTCGATCCATTTCCTCTTCAATCCACTTGGCCCTTTGTTCTACATCATAAAGTTATAAGGTATTAAAGAAGGAAGGTAAAGGTGGAGGAAGGGACAACTTCTCTATTAGAGAGATAATATAAATGTGGTATGAAAAATATGGTAGAGTAATATTTAAAAAAAAGTAAAGGTAGTAAAGTTGGAAAGGCATTGCACGCCAAAAGGTTTCAAAATTTGTGCTTTGGTTGATATACTTTAATTTGGAGAGATTTTTCAATGTGCTTTGGCCTAAATGTCATCCAATCATCAGAGAACCAACTGTGGCAGCCATTGCTTTTGGATTTGACAAGAAACCCGGTTGGTATAGCAAGAGAAACGTCAAGATATTTGATTTGGGTGGTGCTACTTAAGATGTGTCTCTACTTACTATAGGGAATGGTGTGTGTTTGAAGTGAAGGCCACCGCTGAAGACACTCACCCATGGAGGTGAAGACTTTGATAATAGAATGGTGATTTACTCTGTTGAGGAGTTTACGAGGAAACATGGTTTGGCATCAGTGGAAACTCAGGAGCACTTGAGAGGTCAAGGAATGCTTGTGAGAAGGCAAAGAGGAGACTCATTTACGTCTTTTGTAGAAGATGAAATTGATTGTTTGTATCAAGCTACGGATTTCTATATAAATATCACCCGGGCCAAATTTTAACAACTGAACATGGATATCCTTAAGAGTATAGATCCTGTGGAGAAGTGTTTGAGGGATGCTAAAATGAACATAACCAGTGTCCATGACGTTGTTGTTTCTGGTGGCTCTTCTAGAATTCCCAAATGCAGCAGCTTGTTACAGGAGGTTTTCAAGGGAAAGGAGCTTTGCAAGGGCATCAATCCGGATGAAGCGGTGGCCAACGGGGCCGGTGTTCATGCTGCTGTCTTGTGTGGGAATGGAACTGGGAAGCTTCAAGATTTCACTTTATTGAATGCCACCCCCTTAACATTTGGGATGGAGACTTTAGGAAAACATGTCATGGGAGTTGTTATTCCAAGAAGCATGAGAGTTACCATGGAGAAGAAGACGACTTTAGTTACTATATGTGATAACCAACGTACCATCACCTTCCCCATTTATGAGGGAGAGAGCAAAACACTCTTTTGGGTGAATTTAAACTCCATGACATTCCTCCAGCTCCCAAGGATGTTCCTAAATTCGACGTTTGCTTTGAAATTGATCCAAATGGTGTGTCCTGGCTGTCTCTGCTGAGGACACGCCCACTGGCCAAAAAAGAAATTAAGGGATTACAATCAACAGTGACAGAAGAACTTTTGAAGGAATTGAGAAGCTGAGGTAAGAAATCATTTGTGTTATACCAATTTGATAGTTACTAATGCCAGGTGAGCTGAAGCCTCCATCATGCGCAGGTTGTATTGCTTTGAGCTGAATCGAAATTGGGGAAAGGATGCAGTTGATAAGAAAATGTTTGCTAGCTGGTCGTGCTTTATGACATTGATATGATATGCTGGTTATTTTGACAGAGATAAAATTGTTCTTTCTGTCCTGTTTGCTCCGACTCATGAAAATGCTCGTACCTTTATAAGATCTGCATTACTCTTTTTTAATATGTTGTAATTCAAACTCCAAGTTGTTTGTTTCAAACTCCATGTTGTAATTCTTCTGAGCCATGGCAATGGCGTTGGCCAGTGTGTGTAGGAACCCCTAGGCGTGGCTCAAAATCGAGGTGACATTGACGGCTGAGTGTAAGGGATTGATTGGAGGAATGGCTTTGTGGAGAATGAACCTGATTCTGAGAGAGATCGAGAGAGAGATGCATAGTTTTCGGTAATGACACTTGTGCACAATTAGAAAAGGTGTAATACACTTTAGCCACTGTTCTAGAGTGATTGATGTTAACTACATTGGAAGAGACATGAAACTATCGAAATTACAGAGAAGAAGAAGATGAAGGTTTAGAAGGAAATCAAAGCTTGTATTTGATAGTTGAACAAAATTACAGAAAATGAGAGAGAATTTACAATTTATACTAGCCTACAAAGTAACTAACTCTAATCTTCTAACAAACTCTTCCTAGACCAATCTCCACCATTCAATCATAAACCAATCTCCACCATACATCTATTAATACTCCCCCTCAATCTCAACTGGGGTATCCCAGGTTGAGATTGCAGCAAAGTGAGCATGAGATAAACTGTTGAATACTGCAATTTGAGACATCTGCGTCTTATTGATCTTTGCAATCTCCAAAGTGGTCTGCCCTGCACTCGGTCCAGACTCCAGTATATGACTCTTCTGCTATACCTGCCAATCATGTATCGAAGTTTTGGCACTAATGTTGATGCACATTATCATTTTCTTCTAAGCAGACAACCACAGTGGGGTAGCATCAATAGAAATGAGAATTTCCATAAAGCACAAAACCCAAAACCTCCATCACTTGTGAATACTCCAACTTGTTAAACAATGCATCACTATCTGAAACAGAAAGCACAGACAGAGCTAAACATGCTATCAATGTCATTAGACTCATTTTTTGTGTCATCAACCATATCATCTTTTATATCAACAACCATAAATCATATAGTTTCCTCTTTGTGGACAGATCATTCTGCAAACACTTGTAGCTGTTGACTAAAAAACCTCTGTCTGTCAGTCCAAATTTCTTCCACTGCCTTACAAATAAAGACACCCTGTATTCCTCTGCCTCTATCAGGAGTTTTACACAAGAACAACCTTCTATAAAGTAGTTGTAGCACACCCTCATGCCGGTATAACAACTTCTTACGGGATTACCCTTCGTGGGATTCACCGTCAACAATCTCATTCAACTTGGCTTTGGCCTTTAATATTTACAAAAAGAGAAAATGAACAAACTATAGTGTGGCATCGGCCTTAACTATAGCACCACGGGATCGCCCTTTGTGGATTTTTCCAAAAACAACTTCTTTGAACAATGGCATCGGCCTTCACAATTTCAACAACTGAAAATCAACATCTATGTAGGATTACCCTTCGTGGGATTTACCTACTCAAAACACGGGATTACCCTTCGTGGGATTTACCGTTAACACCTTCTTCTACCCTTTGTGGGATTTACCTATTCACATCACGGAATTACCCTTCGTGGGATTTACCATTTACAACTTCTTCAAACTTCATCGTATAACCGGACTTACTGTAGATTCATGCTAACAATTGAGTTGGTTAGACTCTGAAATTATAGGCTAAGATAAGGGAAACATACTGCACACACTCCTCAATAAGCACCTTCACATGAAAATTTTGAGCTGGGCATTTCGACAGACACATGAATTGCGCATAGGCCTAATCTTTCTTTCATAGCAGAGAACAGAGTACAATCAAAGAATTCAATCACACAGTTCTTCAAGCAATTAAAATCCAACTTTCAATTCTTACAGACTTATCAGACATCTTGATTAACAATTTCAACTTCAAGAGTAACAATATTCAACACTGGAATCTTCAGAACATCAATCCATTGGCATCAGCCTTATCATTCAATTAACAAGAACTCATATTTCATCATCTTTCAACATATGACATCGGCCTTCACACTTAATCATGCATAAAATCCCACAATATATGTCCAAGACATTTTCACAAACACCATATACGCAGAAAAGGATTAAAGATACAGAAAACAATCTGAACCCCGAAATCGACGATCTTAGACCCATCAGAGTCAACCAAGATGTTTCCGAGCTTGATGTCGCCGTGGAAGCGTCTGTGGCCATGGAGATACGACATGGCATTTAGCGTCTCTCTCAGGACGACTGCAATGCTGGTACCCAAATCAAATCGCCAAGCGATTCTGCTTCCCGAGAGATCAAACTTGAAGTCTTAACAAATCTGAAGTATACGGCTATTGGCCTTGACACTTCCGAAATTACCAAGAAAATTCTCACTGAGACATTATCATAAACAATTGATATGCTGGAAAGAAAACCAGTAATTGAAAACAAAACCTGAGAACTTGAATCTTGAAAACCCAGAAAACGCATTCGAACATCCAAGCTTGTAAGAAAACTCGCTTCTTCAAACCAGGAAGCTCTGGGAAACCCAACTGTGGCTGTGCCGTTGGTGGAGGGCGGTGGGGATGAAGACCCATAAAACGGATCTGGAATGGGAATCCGAGTCGGTGTCGAAGAACCCGTCGTCGATTCCAAAAATGATGAGGAACCCATCGTCGAGTGATCTCATTGAGGCACTCGTTCAGGACCTTCTGTGTTGATTACAGTCGTATTGCTCATCTGTTGGAGAGCGGAAGCACCGAAGGGCTTGACGGAAAATTCAAGAAAATCTGAAGAAACAAATAAGAAAAGAAGTAAAACTAGAAATAGACGAAACTAATGAGAAGTAGAACCACTAGAATCCATGGCGTGAGCCTGGTGGCTCTGATACCATGTTAACTACATTGGAAGAGACATGAAACTATCGAAATTACAGAGAAGAAGAAGATGAAGGTTTAGAAGGAAATCAAAGCTTGTATTTGATAGTTGAACAAAATTACAGAAAATGAGAGAGAATTTACAATTTATACTAGCCTACAAAGTAACTAACTCTAATCTTCTAACAAACTCTTCCTAGACCAATCTCCACCATTCAATCATAAACCAATCTCCACCATACATCTATTAATAATTGAAAGGTATATAGTGACAGAATTCGGAATAGTTACAAGTTACATCACCATTTCCTTGTTACATTTCCTTATCGGTCTTTTTTTCAAATTTTGCATCAATATTCTTCAGATGCGAAAAAGTTAATTAGTTCGAGTTTCAGGGATGAATGTGTTCAAAATTATATGAAGCATTGGCAATTCAAGGTCTCCTTCTGATACGCCAATAACCGTTGTTACCCACAACGGTGTAGAGAAACAATTTCGTGCTGAAGAAAATTCATCTATGGTTCCTGTGAAAATGCAGGATATTGCTGAGGCCTACCTTGGTTCAACTGTGAAAACTCAGTTATAACAGCGACAGGCTACAAAAAAGGCAGGTGCCTCTGCTGGCCTAAATGTATCGCGTAATCATCAATGAGCCGACTGCTGCAGCGATTGCTTATGGACTTGGCAAGAAGTCTGGCTGGTATATATAACAAGAGAAATGTGATGATATTTGAATTGGGTTGGGGTACTTTGGCCGTTTCACTACTAACCATAGCGTATAGCGTTTGTTAAGTAAAGGTCACTGCTGGACATATACTCATCTCCGAGGTAAAAGCTTTGATAAGAAAATAGTGAATAATTGTGCTGAAGAAACTAAAGGAAACATAATGTCGACATTAGTGGAAAATGCATGTGAGAAGGCAAAGAGGTTGGAGGGGAAGGAGATGTTGGAGGGGAAGGAGCCGTGCAAGGCATTTATCCAGATGAAGCTGTGGCATATAGTTCAGCTGTTCAAGCTGCCATGTTGAGTGAGAATAATGAAAATGGGAAGCTTCAAGACTTTGCACTCTTGGATGTCATCCCTCTATTACTTGGGGTGGAGACAACTCAGACAAGGTGGGAAAGTGGTTCTGACGATAAACATTTCATGCTAGTTGTGATCCCAAGAAACACCAGAGTTCCGGTAAAAGAGAACGTTACTTTGTTTACTTCGGTTGACAACCATGTTGTGGCCAGATTTTCAATTTATGAGGGCGAGAGTTCATCAACCTTAATAACTTTTTGGGTGGATTTCACATCCATGACATTCCTCCTGCTCCTGCCAGAGCTGCTAAATTCAAACTTTGCTTTGATATTGATGAAAATGGTATCCTGAGTGTCTCTGCGGAGGACATGTCCACCGGCCAAAAGAAGGTGATTACTGTCAACTGTGACAGAAGAACTTGTGAGGGAATTGAGGCATTGATATAAAAGTCGGTTGACTGCTGTAAGAAACTTTCATTTCTAATTTCTCCAGCATGCTTCAGACTGAATAGACATTGGATTACAGGGGAAGCGTATTTTCTATGGTCGAGCTTCTCACTCATGCTCTGGTGATCTCATCCAACCTCTTTGTTATTCCGTTATGATAGAGCCGTTGGAACAATAACAGAAAGTATGAGAATAATAAAATAATCCTAATGATTATAATCATAAAGAAATCACAACGCTAATTGTGTACAAGATTAATGTAAACAACTAGAGAGAAGGTAAGAATGACTACAAACTTGGAGATTGAGACCTGCACAAATGTGATGCCCTAAAGACAAAATTTCGCTCTTGTGCTTGTAGTTCGGTAAGC